GAAGCGTCTCGACTACCTCGGTGACTTTAGCTTGGATGATGGACGAGTCCACCTCCGAGCCCCCGGCCTCTTGCTTCCTCATCGGAAGATGTGATGCTGGGGTTGATGAGATCCTCGTATTCCTTCCACCATCCGACGATGTCCCCAGTTGAGGTAAACAACTGCCCTCCTCCACTGTAAACAGTTTTGGCAGGGCACTGCTTCCCCCTCCTGAGGCGCTGGACGGTTTTCCAGAATTTCTTTGAGGCCAACCGAACGTCCCTCTACATGGCCTCACCGAACTCCTCTCAGACCCAAGTTTTTGCCTCCACAACTACCCGGGCTGCAGTCCGCTTGGCCTGCCAGTACCCGTCAGCTGCCTCAGGAGTCCGACGAGCCAACCAGGCTTGTCTCCCGTGGGCCCACCACCTGCAGGAGGATTCGTAAGGGGCTGGTGCACAGTGGATCGGGCAACAGTCGAAGGCAAGGGCCCCGACAACCTGAACTCTGGACACTGAGACTCGGGGAAGGAGCCCAAGCTTGTGCGGGAGGTTGAGATGTACGAGCTAGAGATAGTCGGGCTCACCTCCACGCACAGCTTGGACTCTGGAACCATACTCCTCGAGAGAGGCTGGAGTCTCATATTTAATATGAAAAAATAAAGAAAATGAAAAAGAAACAAAAATAAAAAAGCAAGTAGTTTTATAAAATTAATTAAAAATCATCTTTGTGAGTAATAAATTAGTATTCATACATTATTACTGCATTTTTTTTCCCCTGATGTACTGGCTTCTCTTACTGCAAAAAACACAGGTAGTAATAAATGTTTACATAAAGATAAGCAGCAAATGCCACCTGTACTTAAACTCTGCACCTCACTGAGATCATTATTGGTGCATAGTGCAGCCAAAAGAACAGGTCAGTGTAGGGCACGATACAGCAACATGACTAATCAACTTGACTTTTGCCAACTCTTGCTGATTCTAGTAATAGAGAGTGATTATCTGAACTCTCCACTGTTAACATGTAAACAAATGCAATTTTCGGGGATTGCTGTCTGTTGAAACAGCTTGAGCATTTCCAGGCTTTAATTGTTATCACTAAAAATCATCATATATCTTTTATGCTTACAATTAGGTCCTTGTCATGGGGGGCATTGAATTAAGGATTCATCAACTCAAATTATCTGCCATTTAACTTCTAACTCTGATTGATCACACTTGTGTAAAATGATTACATTTTTATAGCGAGCAATTAGGCTGAAGGAAACCTTGCAAACTCAAGCTCAGGAAGACAAGACAGTATTTCCTATTGAAAAAATGTTACATTTTTTGAGAGAGAAGACTGCTGAATGTGGTGGTGGTGTGAAATTTGTGTTGGTAGTGTAAAAAAATGTGCTCTCTAGAGTGATTTCCAAAAGCACTCATTTCAGCTTCCCACCTCAAAGTACTGCTCTCAGTTATAATGTCAGTGAATGGAGCAGTTGGATGGTGTTCCTGTCACTTAAAGGCTCTGGACAAAAAATCTGTAAGTGTGATTGCTGAAATAGTCACATTATCTGAATCAAGATAAGGTAGTCTATGACTAAAAAAAATACGTATGTAGAATAAAAACTGTGGCTGTGCGGACAAGTGAGAAATACATTTTTTAGACAAATGTAACTGTTTTTCACATTCTAACTGTTGGTGTCCCCATTCTAACCTCAGAACATTCTGTCAATTTCTGAGCATTTCATGAATTCATTTCTAATGGGAAATCTTTTTGACAAAAAGATGAATATTTCAACAACTATAAGATATATTACAAATAAAAATATATCCAAAAATGTCCTCATGATTTGATGCCTGAGTGATGTCTCTATGTCAAACAGTGTAGGGGGAGATACGATTAGAAAAACGGTGAACTCATCATCATCATCATAAAGAGAATCTGAGAAGAACCTATCGTGGAATTGCTTGCACAGCAATCCCACCAACTAAGTGAACCTTTCAGATTCTACAAATTAGATCTGAGTCTGACTTTAATCTCAACACCCATTTATAAATGTGAACATGTTTCCTTTCTTCTGATACACACCACTGTACCAGTAATGTCTCCATCATAGCAGAAGTTCACACTCTGTGGGAAAATAAACTACAGCAAAAACTAACTGAATGTCAAATAATCCCCCAAATAATATATGGATGGCCTACACAAATTTAATACATCCTTTTGCATTAACTTTTCCCCAATGAATACTCTATGATAACAGATGCAGCATATTTGGCAAGTGAGGCAAGGTCACGGTTGCTTTGTTTTCCCACATCTGAGCAGTTTAGTCTGTGTTGAAGCCATTTCTGATGTTGCAACTAAGACAGCAGAAGTAACACATAAACATATTATTATAAAGGCATGTAAAATATGCAAAAATACAAAGGACTATTAATGATCATTTTAAACCACGAATTCTATCTTTTTGAACAAGTTTTTCAGAAAAGCTGCTGTATTTCTTTTTCAAATGGGGAACACCAGTCATTGTCCAATTAGTGAGATGTACTTTATGATGTGTTCGATAAAAACATGTCTTGAGGACATTGCTTTGCGCTGTTGAGGCTTTCTTAGGCTTTTCATTGGGTATCCTTTATCCTTTAACCTCTGGATATTTGTATTTTTCATCGCTAGGTCTGCCCCTGCCACTGGAGCCCCTGCACCAGAAGGAGGCAATCAGCCCCCTCCCAACCTCACCAGCAACCGCCGTCTGCAGCAGACACAGGCACAGGTGGATGAGGTAGGTACACATCTCACTGCAAACACAAAGTCAAGTTGTGAGGATCTAATCTGCAGTTTTAGCATAATTTACTGGTCACTTTCTGGTACAGTAATTCAGCCCTGTCTTTACAATCCTTTCACTATAGTTATTTACTATATATAACATTTGAAACCATGGTTAGATATGAAACACAATGTCCAATCATAATTTATATCTACCAGTCAGACCCACGCACAGAATCAGCTTTATTAGCCAGGTGTGTCGGACACACGAGAAATTTAACTCTGGTACATCAGCTCTCAATGTGTATGTACATATCCCCATGCAAGGGGATATGCAACATTAAACCAGCATAAGGCTGTGTAATATAACAAAATAAGCAGTATTAACAGCAACAAAAAGTGCAAAATAAGCAGTATAAACAGGCAGTAAACCATGCAGACAGTCAAAGGAATGCTCATTGAAATGAGATAAATAGAAAAAAAAAACAGAGTACTTAAAACTAAAGACCTGTACGAATCTGTATAATCTGTACGAGGTATATTTACTGAGCGTTATTGTCCAATCATACTGTCGTTGGTTAAGTGTTCATCAGAGCGACAGCCTGGGGGAAGAAACAGTCCCTGTGCCTGGTTGTCTTAGTGCACAGTGACCTGTAAGGCCGTCCAGAGGGGAGGAGTTCAAACAGATTGTGTCTGGGGTGTGAGGGGTCTGCAGTGATCCTTTCCGCCCTCCTTTTGACCTGTGAGGTGTACAGGTCCTCCGTGGAAGGCAGGCCTTTTCTGGAGTCCTCACTGTCCGCTGAAGTCTGTGCTTGTCCTGTTTGGTTGCTGAGCCAAACCAGACAGTGATGGAGGTGCAGAAAACAAACTCAATGATTCCTTGATAGCTACTGAGGCTATGTTGTTTCACTTGTTTTCTCCAGGTGGTGGATATCATGCGTGTTAATGTGGATAAGGTTCTGGAGCGTGATCAGAAGCTGTCAGAACTGGATGACAGGGCCGATGCCCTGCAGGCTGGAGCCTCTCAGTTTGAGACCAGTGCTGCAAAACTGAAAAATAAATACTGGTGGAAAAATGCCAAGGTGAGCCATGCAGACATGCTTACTCATGCAGGGAACATGTGTGTACAAAGGCTGCTTTACACTGCCCTATAGACAGAAAAACAGCAAGGAAAGGATCCAAGAATATGTGGCCAATCACAGCTGTTGAATTCTGATGAAGTCTTCACTCACAAGCATCATTTTCTTGAGACTGGGTTAGACATTGACACAGTGTTAGCTAGTTAGCACTAGTCAGATATCATGGAATTACACAATGAATTCATGATTCAAATGACACCTTTGATTAAAAATGTAACAGTTTTACTACTTTTCTAACAACCTTTCTTTCTGAAAACCCACTGATTACAGATGATGATTATCCTGGGTGTGATATGCGTTATTGTCCTCATCGTCATTATCGGTAAGAGTCACTGATTTGAGCCTAAATTCATTATTGTTATCTCAGTGGAGATAACAGTGATGTCTGTCACATATTATACACATGCTGTATACACTGTATTATGTAACACAAGACATGTTTTGAAATGAAAAGGACAAACTGTATCATTTGAACAAATCTAAATGTATCCCAAAAGTTGACAGGGAAATAATGGTTCGATAGCTTTTTGATATTGATGCTTTCAACATTATGAAGAAGACTTCATCACCTTTCCTCTCTTCTTTCTTTCTACAGTGTACTTCAGCACCTAAGAAGAGTTGCTCCTACCCCAGTCTGATCTCAACTTCCCTACTACAGAAAAAAACCCTTCAAATTGATGACAAAACTAGCCACAGATAATTAATTTATTCTTTATATCTCCCTGATTAGCCTTGATATAACACCCCTAAATCCTTCAGGGCCCCATTGCTCCCCCATTTCCACCACCTCGCCTCTGGACCCCCTGTCAATATTTGTCCTGTGCGTGTGTGGCCCTGTTTCCTTTCTGGGTACTCTTGGCTTTTCTAACCTGCCATACTGAGAACCAAACACTTGTGACAATGCAACAACAGAAAAGGAAACAACAATTGGCGATAATTGTTACATACCTGATATATATAGGTCTTTGTAGAGTTTTATTCTGATATATACTGTTTTGTAGGTGTGTGTGCGTGTGTGTGTGCATTTTGTAGTTTTTTAATTTTTGTATTAATTTCACGTATGCTTCATCGTTAACTACTGCCTATTAATCAAAGTGTGTGTCTTGCATGTTCTCATCATCTGTCCGTCCCGTGCTTACTCTCTCTTTTTTGTGTATTTTTGCACAGTGGAGTCAGTCTCCATTTCACACATGAAATGCAAACTGATTGATCCATTCGGTTAGTCCAACATATGTAAGAGGACTAATGGTTTTAAAAATATATCAAGTTACAAAAATGGGAGCTATTCCACAGACAAAACTGCCCTTACACATTCCCCAGGTTACTGCTCGTTCAGCTCCAGATTTCTCTAACTTGATGCTGTCAAAAATTTAAGTCTTAGCTTTCTTTGTAGGTTTTTCTGCGAGAGTTAATGCTCACCAGTATTGATCGACCTTACAAATAATGCATGTATTGTTAAAGCAATCTCGATTATTCATCATTTCCAGTCCTTTCCATCAGATCCTCTCACAATCTGTCATTTCTCCCTTTAACAACTTTCATCTGAGGTCTCTGTAATGCCGCAGCCCTCTTGAGTGTCTCAGCATGCTTGAACACTTCTGGTAATTTCAATACTGCCATAGTACAGTTGGACCAATGTCTGTAGATGTTTTTTTTTTTTTTTTTAAATATTATGTAGTGTCTTATTTCGAAAACATTCCTTCATTGCAGACTAGTGCAGATGCTCTTACTGTAGCACATGTAAGTGTAAGTATCTTTAAAAAAATACATGCATGAAACTTGTGTCAAGAAAATCGGTCATACAAACCATAGGAGAAAATATAGTTAGTAGCTGTAAGGGTAAATTTTGGTTAGACAGGATTAGACTTTCAATCAGTTCAAATTGTTTTTTGTAATATTAATGATTATACCTAGAGTATAATGTGGAGACGTCAACAATGTCAAACTGTAGATATGGGCTTGCCATGCCATGCCAGAGGATACAATTGTTATTACATTTATTGCATAAATTAACAATTGATTAATTTGCATAAAGGTTGACTCTCACTGGCCACTTACTTACATGGACACTGAAAAAGCCTTAGTCTCCAGTCTCTTCTGTTAGTTAGTGTAGAGTATTTCCAGTCAAACACACCCGCACACTTTGAGTTTGTGTAGAGGGAGTGGCTGACCACAGTTTAAAATGCACAAACAACCTTGTTTTTCATGGCACTGTCTGGCTGGTTAATAGCCCGGCCAGAGAAGTTCCTCCTGCAGCAAAACCTCTCTGCGTGAAGAGCACATAAAAAAGAGACAGTTCAGCCTTATTTGAAAATGCAAGAAAAGAGGCTAATGAGTAAAATGTCAAATTCACCGCTGAGATTTAGTTCAGCAGTCTGTTAACTCTGGGGCATGTTAGTAACAAGAAACATGAGAAGCAGTTATTTAAAAAAACAGTAGCATTCCTAAAAAGAGTGTTTTGCTAGAAGAGTGGTTCTGTCTCAGTGTCTCTCCCAGTAGTTCAGGCCTTTTTCTTTTCTTTTTTTTTTTTTTACAAAATAGATTCTATTTTTTATTATAGTATATTTTTGTGTGAACCAGACAGGTAAAGAGGAGGTTTACAAACAGTACCATTTACTACAAACAGCAGTAAGCTCCTCTTTACCTTTGTCTACTGTGGTTTTTGTAATTCAGCTCTGTGCATTATACACTGCCAAGCAACAAGGGAGCGGCTTCTGTTGTTATTGCAGTTTTTTCTTTCATTGGTGCCCTCACTGGTTTGATTTAGAACTTTTACATCCCCTTTTTTGGCATATACTCCCATGTACACTACCGTTTTGAGTACATTATGAGCAGGAGAGCAGGGCAATTTGATGCACTTGGTTTTTAATCCTCTGTCAAACTAAGGCCTTGTACACATGAACATGCGATGACATAAACCAAACATTCAGATTAGGAGAGGGATTTTTAGGGCTTTTAACTACACATGGTTGTTATTTACAGGGTTTTGCTTGTGGTTGTAGTAAATCTAAGCTTTGAAATAGTTGCAGTCTATCATGAACTGTATGTTTATTGAAAGGGAGAATTCTTAAGTGTGCGAGCCTACAACATATAAGCAGGAAGTCAGCTCCTGCTTTGCTGCCACTGACATTATTGTTAATGATCCTGAAAAGTATGAGCTGAGCTGTCAGATCTTATAGTCATCTACAGTCAATATAAAGACCACAAAAACACCTACAATATTCTAAGCCAAGTGTGTGTAAAGCCTTAGTAGCCTTGTCTTTCTGCAACATGAATTTTTATCTTCCCCGCCAGCTGAGTAGGCCAACCTGCCACCCTTTGCTGTACTCACTGACTCAGAATCCAGTGTGTGTGTGTGTGTGTGTGTGTGTGTGTGGTTGGGGGGGTGAGTGCAGGTGCAACTTTGTATGTTACTATGTGTGTGTTAGAATAGCTCTCTTGGTAATATCCCCAGTTCATCCCAACAGATTGGGCTGCTTAAATCTCAGAGTGTGGGCATGTTGTTTCTTTGACCACTGAAGTACACAAGCAGAAAGGTTACAGATCTGCCAGCCACTTCTATTATGAAGGACCCCAACCTTAACAAATCCACTCCACCTCCGACAGCCCCTACATGTTTTTCTCTAAATAGAACAAAACTGCAGAAGATTACCAAAGACCAGATTTCTATGCTTATGCTGCCAATTGCCATCAAAAACAAATAGAGAGGAACAGGCTGTCCCAACAACCCTAGTTTGTTTTAAAAGGCTTAGGCTTGTCCTATCTAGACACGCATTTACACACTATTTATATGATGTGTCAGTTTGGCTTGCGGGTGTGCCATTCTAACATATGCAAGTTAAAACTCAAAGAAGAAGACATGCTTCTATTTTCAGATCCAGTTTCCCCCACCACATGTATCCAGGTCTGAAGAGCTTCTTTAAGCTGTAACAAGTTTTTAGACACATGATCTGATAACTAATCATAGCACAACTCTTTACTTTTCTCTTGCTATAGTTTTAAACTGAAAAGACAGAACTAAACAACACTACAAACAAACAAAGCAACAAACAAAAGCTATTAGGCATAAACCAAGACAACTGTTAAAAATCTGCATTGGTTGGTGCCGTAATATGGGGATGTTTTGGGGTGTAGGGGGTTCTATATCCTCAGGTTTAAGGTATTAGCAATTTACCAAAATATATAAGAGGGCAAGAACTGTATTAGCAAACTGTAAAATCTGGTTCTTTTGCCAACAGAAAAGCATTATAGGGTTACAAATGTGGTCCTTTTTAGCCATACTGGAGGAGTTAACCATACAGTGGACTGAAGTAAAATCAAACTACTGACTGGGGTAGGACTTCAATGTTATCTATCAATTCAGCTGTTGTCCTGTGAGTGCTCAACCAATTTTGTCACAATGGTGAAAATGAAGTGCGTGCTCTCCTTTTCTCGTGCTTTATCGTCTATATGAAAAGAAGCACGCATATTATTTTAATACCATGGCACTTTTTCTGTTGTGCTTTGACCATTTTGGTGGGATGGGAACATGATTCGCTGGAGAATATTGTCTTATGTCAACCACAAGAACTGTTCAGTGATCTCAGTTTAAAGCTGCGTTCAGGTCATTTGTAGCGATGGGAAGTGCAATGGTGACCGCTTGGAAAAAAGGGTTTAGACCCTCTTCCAGGTTTGAATTACAACTTGTGAACTCATAATTCAAACTTGGAAGGAAACGAACAGAACGAAGGAGACCAACAGAACAAAACACTGCGTCTTGTGATATGTACGCAGAGACGAATGTTCCCAGGCCGTCGCCCCCAAATGGGATGAGTGCAGCAACAGGAGGGAACCCTTTGAGCCGCTGAATGTTCACTGGATGGCGATAGAAATACAATATTCTACTTAATATATGTTTTATTGTTTTATTTTGAACCAAATATTGTGGGGTTTTTTTTTGCATCAATTTATTAATAACTCCAGATGTCACTGAATTGTTTGTATGTAAGCACTGAAGGGTAAAGGCAAGGAAAATGGGACGGTATCAAGAAAAAAGTAGTTTTACCTTCAATCGTCCAGAACACTTAGAATGATCCTACAGTTTACAGAGTGTCATTTGTATCTACAAGATAAATTTTTTGTTTAAATCATTATTTTTGAGGGATGATTTTAATTTCTCTGTGGGGTTTCTGGGACACAGGCCCATATTGCCCCTGTTCATCTGGCCTTAAAGGAGGGACAGGACTGGAGGATCATGGGCAATGTGCTCATTTATATCATCTTTCTTTCTTTTCCTTTGCTTTTATTTATTGATAAATTTATTGTGCTGTCATTTGGCATGGGATTAGAAATTAAACAAGGTTGACTCAGTGTAAAGAAGAGGAGGCTGAATGAAAAACTAAAGTACATAAAATAATTGTAGTGTAAATCTATCAATGTCTTATTATAATGATGAACATCATGAAATATATGTATATTGGAAAAACAGTATCTATGACAATGTGTGTGTTTTGTATGCATTGTGGGTGTGTAACAAAGGGGAGATCAAAATTTTTTCTGCAGTTTTGGGACCTGGGATCTGACCTGTATGAACAAGAATATGTTTATTAGGATAAACCTTTTTTCTAAATTTATCCTGATTATGTGGAAGTTTCAAAAATACATCCACAGTTGCTTCAAACAGTTGTGCTTAGAGTCAGTCCTTAACCTCCACATCCTGAACTCACATTATTACACACAGACTGCATGTGCACTTAGTCCTATCTGTCTGTTGCTAAAAATATAATCCCTTCAGAAGAAACAATGTGTGTTTGCAAGAACAACGAAATTTAAATGATGTTTTCATTATCTGCATGTGACCTACATGTGTATCCAGGATTTACACATCACTGTATTATAGTGCAAACCCTCCAGAGAAGCATTAACTCTCATGCAGGTCATGCAGTGCATTCAGGCTAAATACAGTGATTCCGTGGGTTTATAAGCTACTATTCAATAGGCCACTATTCTATATTAAGTATTCTATGCTGTTCAAATCCAATTATAGTATTTAGGTCACATAATCTGAGGTGTCACACAATGTAGTTTAACACTGGCTGTTTACTAATACCTTGTGGATCAGTCATAAGCCACTCTTAAAACCAGCTAGTGAATTGTCAGGCTGTGGGAAATCTTCATTCAGTATGACATGAGAAACGGGGTTCAGATGAGGATAAAACTTACGCTGTCACATTATCCTAATCGCCCCACTGTCACGCAAAGTGAAGGGACATTCTCCTTCTAGAGTTTGTAGTAGGAGTAGTAATAGTAGTAGCAGTGCTGGTGGTAGAGTCTATAGTTGTGAAAAAGCAGCAGATAAAAATTGTTGTAGTTTTTACAGCCTGTGGTAAAATGAACCATCAGTGAGAGTCGCTTCCTGTGACTTTTATTTTGAAGTACACAAGGTGGGTCCTGTTCAAACCACATAAGTAGCCTGCAGTATAACCTGCTCCTTTTTTACTTTATCTTTAGTTGCTAATGCATATGTTTTCTATTAAGCTGCGAGTTTATCCAAATCTCAAAAAGCTATTAGACAAGGAAAGAAAGTAATCCCTATTAAACTAGAGTTAAATTAGTCTAATGCAGGCTTTAACACACATTGTTATTTCTGGAATTATAAGATTATTTGTGAAGTGTAAAAAAACAAAAAGCCCATAGAAAATAATAAAAAAAAAAAAGAAATGAACCTTCAACACAAGGTTGCTGCACCAACACAGCAGCGCCACTGTCTATGTTATAGTTTCATGTTTTCACCAGCAGGTGTCCCCATGACAACTATGGTATTTATGTTGTGGACCCACTGAAACAAAATGTATGTTGGTGTGTTCAGAGGGAAATGTGTCACCCAGTTATCACAGTTGTGCTTCACATAACGTCTACTTCACCTCATAAAAATATTACATTCTCAGTATATTGAAATGGCAGTTCAGTTGCCTTGGGATATTTATTTTGTTTGTCTGTTTCTATGTTTTGTTAATGTTGTATGGTTTTATCTATGCTTTTATAAGCGAGGCACCTTGAGCTACCATGGTGTATGAAAGTTGGGGTATAAATAAAGCTGACTTGACTTGACCTGACTTGACAAAAAACAAAAGTATATCAATGCAACAACAGTTCGTTTTCTTTTGCCCAATTTTTTTCTTTTTTTTTGGCCTATTATTTAATTATAGAGTGAACAAAGTTGCATGAGGCTGTGTGACATTTCCATTTTACCTTTTTTGGAAAATATACAGAATATTTCTATTTGTATTGAAAGCCTTATCTTTTTTTCCAAAGGAATAGTTTGTTTGTTTGTTTTTTAACTGCTGTGGCACATTATGATGTATCTCCTGAACATTTGCATGAAACATGTGACACTGTAGGCCTACTGTATACTTAATTTTAGTCTTTGTTAGACAAACATGCACCAACAATGTATTTTAGGCTCCTTATAATTTCACTTTAATGCCACACCTTGCCAATGCCAAATAAGGTGCAAGTGAGCTTTTTAGCACATTGTCCATACACTGAGCGCACAATTGTATCCTGGAAAGAAATGGTTATGTTTTCATGACATCCCTTTTTAAATCTGAAGAGAAGCAGGCCACAACTGTTGTTTGAAACTACTGACAAATGTTGATTTTTCATTCTATACTTACACTTTGAAGTCTTCTAGTGCCTGTCTCCATTATCTTGTAGGATTTATCTGATTTTTATTCAAATCTCTATCTCTGTGTGTTTGTTTCTATCTAGGCCTACTGCTGTCACATGATATTTGGTCCCCTGTACAGCACTGCATTGGAAGACAGACCTTTTTTTTAACTACAGAGAATGGAATTGAGAGGAACCACAATTACAGGGTACAGATAGAGTTATGCTTGTTATAAAATTATCAGTCACAATTGTTTTTATCCTTTTTTCAGCCTCTGCAGTGCTGTGTAACATTAAATATGGTTTTCATAATTAAAAGAGATTAACTTGGATGTAATAATAGAGTAGTGTGTGGAGGGAATGTGTGGATTGTAGTCATATGTTGGCTCAGGGAGACAAGGACAATATATAACGCCAGGGTGCTCTTCACTTTTTTTCTACTGTCATTCTATCAGGTCATTTTAAGTTTGTTTTCCATTTTTCTGCTTTATCCAGCCTACCCTCTTCTTATCCATCTGTCTACCCCCTATCTCCATTCACATACTCCCCCACTACTGTCCCTCTCCAAAAAGAATGCACATCCAGCTTGACAGATTTACCAAGGGTTATTGCAGATTGCAGAAACCTACACACTTGGATTCCTGCTAAGTATGAAGGACACTCTTACACCCACATGTAATGTCAGGGTCTGCACAGTTCTGCATACTCAGACACTGCCCCCCCGCCAGCCGACTCTGGATGTAAATACATTCTTGCTTCTTTTGCCTCTTATCAGAAGTTTGGTTTAACACAAACACAGCACAGCAGGACAGGGGAATGCTTATTTCTCCAGCTCTCCATAAGCACCAAAACTGTCAAGTACTCAAGTCTTTATAGGACATCAAAACTTTTTTTTTAAACAGGCTGTGAAGCCTTAAAAAGTAGAGCCCCACAGTAAAACAAGAGCTAAAGTTACAGTATGTGCCACAAGCAACTAGAAAAACATTCTTTTCATGGAAACCCTGCTTTGTGCTTTTATAGGCTGTCCATCCGGTTTGCTCCAGACTTTGATCAAGGTGCAGCAGTTCTGCTTCTCTTATAAAAAGTGGCTGATTTTAGAGCATTATTGAAACAGCATCCCCCTCTACAGGCCTCAGTAATGTAGGCCAGAGGGCTGGCTCATCCTCTTAATAGTGAGTGTTATTCTTGCCTGGATTGTACAGTAGAGGCAAACAGACACTGTGGCTCAGATGTTATGGAGCCAAAGGAGCCCCTGGGGCTTAGGGAAATATGGTAAAGGCAAAGAGACCATTAGGTTTACAAAACCTTCCTGTCTTGGTTCTACTGGAGCACTGTTTGGAAAATGTATGGCATTTGTTTAAACTAGATCACTAAAGTTAATCATCTTACTTAAAATGATTCTGTTTAGTCAGTTAAATGTCTCACATGTTGCAAAGGCTTTTGTTACAGCCTCAGGCTTTGTCCCCACCTGTGCAATGTGCATAATGATCAGCCACACACTCACACTGGACATCAAAAGCACCTTCAAACCCAAATTTCAGTCCTCTTTCACCTTAAGGTTCAACCATGTGGAGAACCAAAAACCTCAGGGTAAAAAGATAAGCTCCTTTCAAAGCCTCAGCCATGAATTCCGATATGTACGTACTTCTCCCCCCTGTTATACTGAAACCAGGGTTATTCTGGAGGAAACATCTGGCCTTAATTAATGCCTTCATATCCCTTCCTCCTCATTCACGTCATCCCCCTCATGACTCTTTCTCCCAGCTGTTGCTCAATCAGTGTCTATTTCTTTCCCCATTCTCACACTCTCTCTCCGCCCATCCTGCATTAGCAATCTCCTCCTCTGTCCCCTGTCTTTCATTTCTTGCCTCCTGTCGCTGTTTCCCTGTTCTGCAACAGGCTGCCTTGCTTTGTATGCACACTGCATCATGATGCATGCGGACTGCATCTGGGGATTCTACTTGTTCCTCTCTCTAAGTTTAAGATGGACGAGGGCTCAAGAGACAAATTACACCAGGTGAGGTCCCAGGGGGTGGAGAATGTGTGTGCCGAATGTGTCATGGTGTCACTTTGAAAGCACTGTAATCTTCATTTATGTGTCTCTGTTGATGTTTTAATTGAGGATAAAATTGCAGATAGATACAGTCCTCGACTGTCTGAGATCACAAGCCTGCACCTTTAGATTGAAAATACTTTGAACTTTATCCTGTCTCTGTAAGTACATTCTTTCCAGTACACTGTTTGACTGGGTGCAGAGTTGTCCTTTTGGTTTATGGCTCATAATGTGAGGCATGTTGACTGAGCAGTCACAGATGTTAATGCTTTGGGTTCTGCCTGTGGGGTCGAATCAGCGCAACTTGGCTCTCATTCTAGACATCCTGGCTCTGATCAGCAAAGCGTCTGGCTTTGCTGGGGTTCTGCTGTCTGAGCCCATATTTTGTAAGAAACTATTCCATTGCATCTAATTTTGGTTGGCCAGATTGTTGTTTTGTTCTTCCAACAATGTGTTTACTTTTTCAGAAAGGAACGGACAGTCTGTTTTTCTAACTTTCTCACATATAAAATGTCCTGAAAAACAACATTTTCAAAGTTGAGCCAAAAACAACTTCCCACACCACAAATAGGCTGTATAAAGTCAAAAAGTCTGAATGTCTTTTTTGGCAGACAAGTATACAAATGAGGTTTTTTAATCCCTGTTGGCAACAGCCTAAAATAGGAAATTGTTCCTTCTGTGAAATGAGTGTTGAAAGCAGAATTTATCACACAGTCTGACACAATAACTAGAGACAGGAAAAGTCTGTCAGCTGTAAAATGTGCTTGTCAGCTAATTTTGAATTGAGCAATTTGTGTGTGTGTTTGTGTGTGTGTGTGTGTGTATGTGTGTGTGTGTCATGGCACCCCTATCACTATGACAATCATCAGCTGTGTGTTGTGGCATATAGTGGCTTCATATTTAACAGGGCCTATCCATTCACTTTCAACTTGAATATTAAGTAGCCAAAATAAAAATGATCAACAATGTGTTATCCATGCACGCACACAACCACACACACACATACTGTGTCATCTCTGAAATTATAATACTAATGAAGTGACCCTGAATTAACCAGCTAACATTGTCTGCTCCCATCAACAGTCTCCTCACTTTGATTATAATGAATAAACCAAGCTCACAACCTTTTTTAGCTAGTTAGCCTGCTGTTAAATGACCTCACCCCAAAAACTCCCAAAAAGTTATAAAATAACATTTTATAATAATGACCTAAGGTGTAATCATTTCTTATTCATGTGGCAATTTCTTTTACAAATAATTATTTATTTAATATCGAACACTCCACATATGATCAAATTAAGTAAGGGCTCATGTGAGTAAATGAGTCTCTCGTGAGTCTTTGCTAATAAATCACCTTCTCCTAATCATGTTCCAGTGGAGCATAAGTGTTGATACAAATAGCTTGATGGTGTTTGACAATTATGCCTCTTCTTTACTTGCTTTAATATTAGGCCCTATAATTCCAGCCATTAAATGAGGAAATTAAATGTCGGAATAATGTGGCAGCAACATTTACACTCCATGTGGCCTGACAGTCAGATAATGAGAATCTTTGTTTAAACACAGTATATATACTGTTTGGCCAGTATATATATCATACCATACCATAGTGACCATGAGTTTCCAGAGTTTAGAGCCAGTCTGGTAAAGGAAGTCCTTGAATACTTGTATCTGAAAGAGTCTCAGCGGACTTAATGCATTCTGTTGCCTCCTCCAACTCAGGCCAGTGTTCCACTGTGGAGGAGACCTGGTTGCAGAAGCAGGCTTTGTTGGCAGTGAGGGGTTCCCAAGCTTCTATAAACCGAACAGCAGATGCACCTGGAGGATCACTGTGAGTCACTTACCCTGCAACATGTGTACTGTAAATACTGTCTCCTTACTTAGTCTTTCTGTGTCTGACTCATGTACAATCTCTCTGGATTTCAGGTCCCTGAGGGAAACGTGGTCACGCTCTCCTTCCGCATTTTTGACCTGGAGGCTGATTCACAATGTCAGTATGACTATCTGGATATTTACAACGGCCATTCCAACTTGGTGCAAAAACTGGGTCATTTTTGTGGAACGTTCCGACCTGGTGCTCTTATTTCTACCACAAACACCATGATGTTAGAGATGGTGTCTGATGCAGAGACACAGAGCAGAGGGTTTGTGGCCTACTTCAGCGGAGTAAAACCATATGTGAATGGTACATGGTCAGATGTTTTTTTCTTTTTTATATCATGCAGACAAACATGCTGGCATTGGCATTTCACCGCACATTATAAACCAAGTTTAAAATGCAGCACATGGATTTTTATGAAATTGAAAGAAAGAAAGAAAGAAAGAAAACCAACTCACATAATTACTCATAATTTGTTACTGACATTTTCAGACCTCTGTGCTCACCACAAAACATATGTAATTGAGGCTTATCAACTTTACCATTAGTGTGTCCTATTGTTCAAGCTTTTGAGACAATGTTATTAAAATTAAAAATAATACCTTGGTCCAACAAGACACACTTTATGAAGGGTTTCATTAATGGTTAAAGTAAAAGTTCAACATTTTTGGAAAAACTTCCCAAAATTTTCTAAAATATTATTTTCTAAAATTTTTTCATGAGTCATTTACTAGAGCTCCATAGAGTACATACAGTAAATTATAAACAGCTGGCTTACCAGGTTGTAAAAACTCTCTATTACAGTTTATTACAGTGCAATTAATTAATATCTAGAAAAAGGACTACTCTTTTTTTTGCTCATTAACCTCATGGAGTGTGAACAACTTGTTTCAGACCAACAGTTCTGTGGAGGGAAGATAACCAAAGCCCAGGGAGAGATAAAGACACCCAACTGGCCGGATAAAAAGTACCCACCAGGAACCAGCTGCTCCTGGCTTATCACTGTGGAGCCTGATATGGTCAACAGCACACTCATTCACAGCATGAAAGCATTTTTCAAAGTCCTCACATACCTAACATGTAAATCCATTCTACAGGTGACCCTTTAAAAATCATAGATCTGTTTCTGTTTGGGTACCAGGTAATCCATGTGAGGTTTGATAAGTTTGTCTTGGAGGCCGACACCTATTGTCGGTTTGACTATGTGGCATTTTTTAACGGCGGTGAGAAAGATGACTCCCGTCTGATTGGAAGATACTGTGGTGATCAAGCCCCAGAGTGAGTGGCAGATATTTTTAAAGCTGTTTGTTAGCCTCTAAAGTAATTTCTAAATTGATTACTTTCAACTGAACACCCCATTCATTTCTTGTCTCTTGTACAGACCCATTATTACCAGTGGCAACACACTACTGGTCCAGTTTGTGTCCGACCTTAGTGTGACATCTGATGGCTTCCTGGCCCACTATACCAGCATCCCTCATGGTTCTCAGGTACCACCAGTTAACTCAGGAGCCAGAACAAGGATTGACAAAACAAAAATTGAAGTCAGACCTGCTGCACCTGAACGTCCTGCTGTTATCATCCAGCCACCTGCCCCAACTACCAGATATGTGTCGCCTCCTCCCCCTGAGCCCACCAAGAGACCCACACCAAACAAGCCTGTGAGAGGCCGTGGACAGGACACCACAGGACAGGACAGAAGAGTTGTAGTCACAAGGCCAGATGGAAAGAGGCCTGGTGGGTGAAATTATGTGCACACATGTGTCCATGACCGGTGGGAGCCTGTACCTAAAGCACTATCTGTGTGTGTGTTCTTTATGTTTTAAGTCCCTCAAAATCCACTGTGTGCCAGAGCCTGTAAAAGAGAGGGAAACTTCAAATCCAGCTTCTGTGCCAGTGAATTTGGTAGGTTTCCTGCCTACAGTTCACATGTACAACAAGTAACCAGCTAGCTGCTGTGTTCTGACTGAGCCCTGCTTTTTCCAGTGATAACTGGGACAGTGACGTCTCTGGCTCCGGGGCCCCGTGGCACTCTTATTGTTAACACCTCCATCATCAACAGCTATAAGACAGGTCGACTAACCACCACTCAGGATGAACATATCGTATCAGTTAAGCTGATATCAAAGTGCAAGAGGTGTCCAGTCTTCCGCAGAGGTATTTCGCATCTTGGATTTACACACACACTTATATGCTGTACACCACATATTATTAACATCTTCAGTTAATCAAAAATGTTTCACCGATTAATGTTTCTTTCTAATAGGTGAGTCCTACATTATCATGGGTCAAGTGGATGAAGACGGACGTGCTATTGTGGAACCTGGTGCATTCATCGCATCGTACAAACCCCCACAGCACAAATTATTAATGAATATCAGTAAGCAACCGTGTTAACCTTGCACATCTGTCGAGGGCAGGAAACTCACATGACATATCAAACACATAAGGTTTCAATGAAAAATGCAAATCTATTACAGGACATTTAAGTTTTATCCAACATCTTAAAGGAATATAAAGACACTGTTTTTTCAAAAACCTGCCAAACCTTATGTTGGTTATTTATATATGAATAAAGGTTTTATATCTCCTTCACATGCTTTGCATAATTATTTACACATTCCCAGCTGTAGCTCTCTCCAGCTGTCACACTCTAATGTTAGAACTCTAATGTTTTTCAGCTTAGAATGATGCTGTCTCCACCTAATGGATCTGAAGACTCATAACATTCTAGCTATGTCATCAAGGACTCACCGAGTGTAACTAAGGACAATTTTGAGGAATCTGTACTTTATGTTTTTTCATTTCATTCATAGGTGTATTTGCAATTTACCTGACAAGCGCCTAGACTGGGAAGCACGAGATCGGGTACCCAAATGTATTTTAATGGCCATGCTAACTTAAAATCCACAACTGGTTTGCTAGAATTCACTCTGAATAACTGATTGCGTATCATGAAATTTATTTTTAAATAACATATTTAAACTAGTTCTCAGTATGTGGCTATAGATGTGAATATGACCAAACAGCGTTGCCGTGCGTCAGGACGCATCATCTGTAGCCCAATAATAGGATGTAAGAGGTGATCTGCAGCCGGTGTTTTGGAATCCAAAGCCACATTAGAAAAATTACACATAATAACATGCGAAAGTAGCTCATGAGCCAAGATAAATAACAAACACCTTGCAGACTTCTCCATTAATTACACCTCAAGTAAAGTCAGTCTGAGCTCACTGTTGCCACTGTTAAGTTGCAGTTTCTTCAAACGAACAAGTTTCACACAGTTAGTTCGTAGAGGTAACTTGTGTTTGTTTTATGGTGGTTTGATCAGCTTTGAAAAGCAGCTGTAGGTGGAGATAAAGTGGGCTATACATCCACTGGCTGTGCACTCTGGTGGACCACAGTTTCACCATAAATACAATGATTATGTCATTGTATTATATTTAAAACAGTGAAACGCTGATAAAGTTACATGTGCGACCGCTGTGGAGTTCACATGCTGGATGCAGCTGTTAGAAAATTAGGCTATATAACTGCTGCTGATTAAAGGAGCAGAGACTTACTTTCTTCCATGCATAAAAACTGGTCAGTGATATTAGCAAACTGCTGAGTGAATATTTATGTGCAGTAAATCTACATAAACAGTTTTGTCATTGTCAGTTGAGGAGTGGAGAACATAACTATCAGGAGAAGAAGAAAGAGGGCAAGAATCTTTCCTACAGTATGTAGGAAAGATTCTTTCCTACAGTTCTATGTCCTGACATCAGTGACATCAGTCAGTCAGGTTTCTGTCTTGCTCTTTAAAGGGGATGAGAGGAGCTGGTTTGACTGGACATAACTCAAGTTTATACATGAGTTTAAGACTACGCCCTGTTGCAGGAAAATAGGTCTTTATAGCTGTAATTACAATAAATTAATATCTGGTGACCCATTTACAACACATCACTGTTTTTTGCATCAAAACATGGCTGGACATCCCTTCTTGTAAAAAGAGAGCATCATTTGCTTGTGTTTATTTATAAAGGCCTATTAACAACTTATCTATGCTCTTCTTTTGCCTGGAGAGCTGGTGCTCATCAAACACATTCTTGCTTCAGCTGTAGTTCTGAAAAGTATAAATACAGAGATTGGAAACTGCTTTCAGATACACTGCTCCTGCCTCATGATAGAATTTATAACGAATACTAAGGCTCAAAAAAATTTTGGTGAAATAAACAAATGTGGCATGCAGTATCAAACTGTAAAGTGCATCAATATGTAAATAATGTTATAGAATATAATATCAATAGTAGTACACTAAATGTTTATCTCCTGAACAAACATTGAGGACCAGATGCCTATACTTGACTGCATTTCATCAAATATAAAACATGATATGTGATAAAATGATAACACAGCAGCTGAAAATGTATTTGCATTTAGTAGAGCATCATTTCCACACACTGCTTGCAAAACATCATTATTAGACTGGAAATATTTTCCTTTTCCTTATTGCTAGAAATTTTAGATGAAATTTAAACTGAGTCAGTGCATGTTAGAAGAGCAAAGATATGTAGTTGGAGATGGATGAAGGTCAAGAAACAAACTGCCTTGGCTTGTCTTGTAACCTGGATATGTTTGGACTGTGGGAGGAAGCCCGAGTACTCGGAGAAAACGCACACAGGCACAAGGAGAACTTATTAACTCCACACAAGAATTCCCCGGTTGATTGCAAGGGTTTGAACCCACAATCTTCTTGCTGTGATTTATCAGCGTTAACTATTCACATTACCTCTTATATCTCTACTACACTTCAATTTCATGATACTTTATACTCTTTCCTGCTTGGAAAGGAAATATAAGGAAATATTGTAATTTAACTGCATCACCTTGACATGAAATCTTTCAATATCCTTTACTTTGCAGATTTGGATTAGTAATACAAAACATAATCAAAAAAGATTTTAGGATTTGCTATGATAGACAGCTAAATAAACACAGAACAATCTGAGTTAGTTATCACTGATACAGTATTCTTATAGTTTTACATAAGTAGAACAGAAATGGCCAGTGTGAATAAATGACAACAGATGCACATTATCTAATTTTACAGATACTTTGTCCATTTACAGTAATATGTTAATTGTATTTTCACCTTCTCTGTTAAAACAAATTGCTTATTTCACACTTCACCTGCTCAGTTTGCAGAGTTCTGTATAAAACGCAAAATTTAGCTTGCAGGGCAAACAATGATTTATTGTAAAAACATATAAAAATACATTTGGAGCAGTAAAAAAGCAATATTGACTTTTTAAAAAATCAGCAGTAATGATGATATATGATGGATTTGTACAGTGGCTTTCGACACCAAAATATACTGGCAATTTGTAAAAAAAAAAAAAAAACAAAAACAAAGAGCTCAACAGGGCTACCTCATACAATCTGCCTCTCCTGTCCGCTCCTCTCCTACACCCATACACTATTCTTCCCCTCTCGTCCAGCAGCTTCCTGCTTGCCACAGCAGCCTCCTGCACCAGGCCACTGGTGGTGTGAAGTGGGCAGGTTCTTATAGACGGCACGGCTGTATGGAATGAAACACAGGCCCAACTGGAGGTGACGGGCCAGGCGACAGTAGGCAGCGAGTGCCAGGACTAGCAGAGGGGTGAGCAACAAAAAACCCATGACCAACAGCGCCACGCAGCCACCGTCATCCAGCAGGTCTGAGCAATACAGAGACGTCCCATTGGGCCGCACCTGGAGAGCAAGAGGACACTGAATGAGGTGTGGTGTGGATGGAAAAATCAACGAGCATACAGAACACAGACACACATGACTCTGGCTCCTCAGTACACCTCAGTAGTCTTTCTTCAGTCTGAACCTGTGTGTGTTGTTGTAGTCCCACAATGCATTGCATAAAAGAACAAAAGCAGCTTAGTCACAGCTGCAAAAAATTTAAATTAATCATGAGAGAGATCTAGTCAGATCTTCAAAAACAGTATCAAATCTCTGGAAAAACATTTTTTTTTTTCTCTGTGTAGTTTAATTGGCAATGGCATTCCAAAACAGTTTGATTGACAGTCTGCTCTGTTATAGAAAGAAATAGGCTTAAGAATAGATCACTTTTTATTTTGACTGCAATTAATACTGTATGTAGTGTGGAATTTGGTCTCAGACTGACTTTTGAAATCTGCATCATCTCTTGTTTCTACCAATCACAAGAATCAGATCCCACAGGACACCATTACCGTGGAGTGACAGAGGAAGCCAAATATGATCATTGCAAGAGCAGGGGTGAGGATGGCGGCAAACACAATGCTGGCCAGCCCGGCGTTGAGTAGTGCGATGATCAGATTCTGTGCAGTGACCAGCACTGAGCATGCCCAGCAGTCCAGAGAGCCCCTTAACTTTAGAGGGGTCTTAGCAACCTCGCTGCTGCCCCTATCGTATGGAGGTGGCACCACGACCCCTGATGTTCGTCTGGAGGGGGACCGTGGCTCAGAGGGGGCCTGCTCAGATCCTGCCTTCTCCAGTGTCCCGTTGCGTGACAGACTCATTTTTGTTGTGTCCCTTAGTGCAAGAAAACAGACAGTTTTAGCCCAGTAACTTCATGTAATTGATTCATCTGCTGAGTACTCTGGATGATAGTGACTTCATTTTAACCCTGTTGTTTGGACTAAAAGCTTCGGATGAAACTGCATACAGTAAGTGCGAGGAAATGACCCAACCTCCAAACTCCAGTACAGCCATAATCCAAAACAATGATGCAGCAGGGAACCAATGAAAAATCCCAATGACTAACATTAGTCACAACAATGTATGTCTTTCATTTTTCTGATTTTGAAAGAACAAATGTTGTGCTGCAACCTTTTGTCACATTGTTTTATTTCATTTCATTGTTATTGTGTGTATGCTGATCCCCTCTACAGACATAAACATTTCCACGTGAAGCATTAAAGTGATGAGAAAGTGACACGTCCCACCATTTCCCTCTCTTCTCCAGTGTGTTAGCAGCTGTTATTATTATGCTTAGTACATGTGAACACATGGGCTTTACAAGCAATCTTTCATTTTTGTCTAGTCTGTCACTAACATTTCAAGTAGGTACACCAAATTCATCCTGACCCCTTCCATCAACAGCTCACAAAATACATGAATGTGCACGATACACTTAAGTGTACTGAAGCTTGAACCAAGGCTCCTCCACAGTGTCACACAGTGGGAAACCAAGGATGCAGAGAAACCATCAAAAGACAAAAGAATAACTATTATTGGGAGTGAGTTTTATGGTTCATTGTCTTTCTTCAGATTGTGTAAATAATACTAATCAAAATGGGATGATTCTGATTTTAACGTTTCCTTGTATGTACATAGGCTCTCCAATAATTCCATGGCCCGAAGAACCTTCTTAAAACTGTTTTCACTGGGAACATGTTTTGTTTATTAAAGTGTATGCCAGAAAAATGAGGCAGCTCAAACACTGACACTATCAAGACAGCCTTATGGTTTCCAGATTGATTAGATGTATGTACTGCATGTGGTCAACTAAACTGTTACTTTTCTGCTTCTTCAGTATGGTTTTAATACTAAAATGACCAAGTGGTAAGTGATAGTTTGTTGTACTCACTGTGTAGTAAACATGAAGATGTTGGCAGCAGATGATGGGTCTCTGAAAGACCTGATGAGCGCTGAGTGGTCAGAGACAAAGAGAATGCCAAGAATGTCCTCCTGATGTGCTCAATATGAATATCCAGGTCTTCCTGCTGGAATCCAAGTGAAGGTTGAGTTTCTGCTACTTAACTAAACATCTCATTTTGTTTTCATCCCTATTTCCAAAAAATAAAAATTAAAACAATATCTCCAGTCTTTTGAATCTAAACTTGTCCCTTAAGCTTCTCAGAGTGGGTCAGAAATGAGCTCTGGAGACTTGAGGTAAATTCTGCTTTCCCACTGGCTTCAGCGCTTCCTTTCCTGCCACTCTGTTTCCTTACTTTGACTCCAGTTTGAGATATGGTTGAGTACGTGTATGTGTATGTCTGTGTGTGTGAGTGTATATCCTGTGTTAACTCTTATGCGGATGCACAGACAGCAGACTGGGCTGTGTGAAAGATTGCTCTTCGGGGGGCAGTGGAAGGTTTCTGTGATAAGCCCTGGAACTAGGAGGGAGGGAGGACAAGTGTTTATTTGGACAGATTAGTGCAGTCAGGGTATGCTGCCCAGTCCACAACACTTCTTCACCCCCACTCTGCACTTTCTCTACTCCTCTGTCAAATACTGAATTCAAAACCACTAAGCTGGTTTTATATTAATTATCACTGTAAAACAAAGCCAACAAAATGCAAACAAAAGGTTTCAAATGGACCTTTACAGCAGCTACTCTGCAAAAACATAAAGCTCTGAAATTAAAAAGGTAAAAAGCAAGAAAGAGCGTTGATGAAAAACAGAGCTCTGCCTTCAAATAATGGGGAAGAGCATGACTATTTTGATAGGGAAAAGAGGCTATCATGGGACTGATAAAAACACCAGAGGGGCTCAGTTTATCTCACTCTGGACATCCTTGGTTTTTTTTCTACCTAGGGGTAAATGATCAAACAGCCCATGTTATTAGTGATTTGAGTGAAAAAGAATGTGGGAGTAATGGGTGATTTTGACATTACCAGTATCATAGGGTGTGCTGTTATTAGGTGGATGTCAGTGTTTGAGGGGGTTGGTAGAGGAAAAGCTGTCTTCCTGTTCTTGGAACGGGGATATCCGCTGCTGTGTCAACATTTCATAATGAGATGTCCCCGCATCTGCAGTTTTGATCATCTCATGTTCTCTAACATCAGATGTTAAAATGATGTGTAAAAGGTCCGTTGCATGTGGTGCCCTAAATATTGTGGCTATTTGCTGTTTTAAAAATGGTTTAATATTTAAGTCTGGATTTGTTTTTTAGTTCACAAATTGGTGTGTATCATAAGCAGTATACTGTATTATGGGCATGTGTCCCCTCCTGGCCTCTTTACTCAAATAATCTTGGGCAAATTGTTGATTAAAATGAAATCCTAGAATGTCCTTGGGTTAAATCTCCAGTTTTGACTGTACACAGACACCACCAGACCCCAGCAAAAGGACGAGGAGAATGGACAGGAATATTATTTAATCTCCAGTGAAGCCACGACTAAGTACATCTCTGGGAATAAACTGCTGGAGTAGGGCAGCTTCTAGGGATATACAGTATGTTTGGTACCAAAATTGAAACCATCCAGAAGATCCATGTTTATTTTGATCAAAGAATAAAACTGATGAGGTGTCACATCAAATAATGTGCTGCTGTATTGTTTTCAATGTAAACAAATCACTACTTTCTGTTTTAATTTTGATTTTACATAATGTCCAAACTTCTTATGATTTGGAATCGTAGGTAGGTCATTATTTTGGCACATATTTAGTCATAAACCAAATCACCACAGAAAGAAAATCAAAGCTAATAACTCATTGTTGAATAATTTATCAAAACATTTTATTTTGTTGAACAACAATACAGTATGTCACAGAAAAATCACAGAGGGATTTAAGACAGGTCTGGCTCAGGTTTTCTTCTATGTGAGTTCTTTTTTTCAAACAAGTGCAGCATAACTCAAACAAGTCAAGAGGAAAGAGCATTACTACATCCTTCAAATAATAGTAATAATGAGGACAAGACACAAAAAAAACCCGAAACCCCGACACCATCAAAAGACACGTCCCTAAAAGTCTCCACAAAAGTGTCAAGAATTACAACTACCGCTAATGCTCATCATAAAACCACTAATGCCTCACAAGATTATGAATTTCATACAATGGAAAAAAGCTAAAAAAGATCTTGTATTTATCAGCTCGATACAGTACAAATACATAATTCCATTTCTGTAACCAGTAAACTGTGTTGAAATGTCCTAAGCACCAACTGGTTGGTTTGAGCTGTATCTGTGACTTTATGTTTATACATCAATAAACGCTTTTCAATTAGGGGGCGCTGAGGCAAGGAGGGGTCTAGCACCATGTATATTAACCGCCCCCGATTGCACTTCCCCTATCCACACATTATGATCATACTACATTTTAAAATACCTTGTAGCGCCTTATCAAGTGAAGTACCCTTTGATATGCAATAAATATATAAGAAAACAACCATGTACAGTATAAATAATGTCACCATTTACAATTTTCTCTGTAATCCAAAACCAGAAACTGACAACAAAAAGAGGTATAAAAGTGGGAAGAAATTCCCATTGCTGTAATTTAAACAAAAGTGAAAGAGGATTGTTCATGGATATATTATAATACAGTAACAACAAACACAAATGACTGGGGTGGATATACAGGCGGGTGACGAATTGAAGGAAAAACCTGAATAACTGAATAACTGAGTGGGCTCTTCCAGGATGATAGTGCCACCAGGGGTCACTGAATGGTCTGATGATTATGAAAATGAATCATATGTGAATCATATGCTACGGCCTTCACAGTCACCACATCTCAACCTAGTTAAACACCTAAGGGAGGTTTTGGAGCGACATGCTATACAGCATCTCCACCACCATCATCAAAACACCAAATGAGAGAATATGTTTTTGAAGAATAGTGTCCATCCCTCCAGCAGAGTCCAGACACTTGTAGAATCAATGCCAAGGTGCACTGAAGCTGTTATGGTGGCTCAGCACCTTACTAAGACACTTTATGTTGGGTTTTTCTTTCATTTGTCACCTGTCTGTATTTAACCATATACAAATTAGATTTTTTGATTGAGAACAAAACTACATAAGTCTTCTAGTAAACCTGAAAAGAGATACATTATGTACATGAAATGGTGTGCATAGACTAATGATAGCATGGGTAAGATCTGAAAAGTTGTTATTTGTGGGGATTTTAGTTGAATGGTTACACAGCAGTAATGCGGAAAATGAATTTACATGAAAACCTAAGCAACCAAGTTATTGCATGTAAATGCAGTCCAGTGTAATGAAGCTTATCAGATTTTACGCAGGAATAAAAAGCTGCTCGGTGTACTTGGAAGAAGAGCTAAGCCAATACGTCAGCTGATATCAGCCTCTATGTTGGCCAAAGAGTGATACAAAAACTGCAGTACATAAATGCCAAACACCAAAGGCAGTGTCACCTTTAGTTTTTCCACCAGAAAGCACTGACAAGTTGATTATAAATATAAGAGATCCTTATCAATATTGTTTATATATTTACAGATTTTTTAAAATCAGCTGATGTATTAATATATTTTTAGAAACTGACAAATAACAATATTAGTATCAGCCTCAAAAATCCCAGTTACAGCTACTCTAGAGTTATGACACTGCCATACATTTGGTCACCTCTGCAATGTGACAACAGTATGACACTGTAACTAAAAATAAGCAAATGCAAAATACAACATAATGACAAAAACCATTAATGCAATAAAAAAAACTGTAGCTACAGTAAATTTAAAGAATTCAACTGAAAAAAGGAAGAAAATGAATTTTTTCCCCATGTCACAGTTCATCTGCTCTTTAGTTAAACAGTTAATACAGTAAATGAAGCCTGGTGCCAGTGCACGGAGCTGAGCCTCATCAGGACGGCTGTTTGGAGCAGAACGGAAACACTGAAGTGCCCTGGAGTCTGATCATCTGCTTGCCCTCATTGGCTTTTGCATTCTAGGATTATGATTGTGTTTCTCTGAACATGTTACTGTTTCCTGACTGTAACAGGCACTTCTCTGACACAAACAGCTACGGTGACTCCCCCCCATGTACCCCGTCTATGCACACCACTATTTTATAAATGTATTCACTATTTACAATTATTTATTTTCTGTCATCTAGAAACAAGACATACTGTAGCAACAAAAGAGGTATAAAACTGGGACTGCTTTCCCATTTTGAAAAAAAAAACAACAACACTGTTTTCTAGCTGTATCATAGAAACCACACTGACAACAGTTTAGCTGGAATTGTGAAAAAAAAAATCCATTTACATACTTGATTTCCAACTAAGAATGAAACCATATTAGTCCTCTAGTAAACCCGTATTTTAGAGAAACAGATAAAAGTTTTTGATTCACTTTTTTTAAAATACTTACATAAAACCTTAATTGTGTGTTTAATGCTCTGATTACCTCTCCTCTAAATACAGTTCACAAGGCCAATGTGGTGTACTTCCAGGCTGGTAAAACTTTTAAAGTATCTAACAAGAATAAATAAAATTGGAATAGCACCTCAAAGAGTTTACAGACAGGAGTTACAAATGTCAGAGTTTACCTGAATATCAAACAAAAACAGAAACCAATACAATGCTAAATGTGACAATCCGCTACTTCTCCTGTGAACCAATCCCCCTGCTGGTACAATAGAATCACAGCAAATTCATGGACATATAGAATAACTAGATTGGTGTAAAAAAGTTCTACTGAATTTGCATAAAAGTACCTGAATGAATACACAGAACTGGCTACTGGCTACGCTTTTGAATCACAGCAGTGTCCGTTGAACATATAACCTGATTTTCAGTGCTAGCAGTGCTCACATTTTTGTACACATCTGAAATGCTTGCCATAAGAAGTACCAGTCTAGTCATTCTATTTCAAAACACACGCCCAGTCAGCAGTTAGTATGGGGAAGACAGTGAGCTATAGTTGGATTGGCTGAGTATCCATACCTTATTGTGTGATGTAAACAATACTGAGCAAACATGATTGGTTGATTCAGAAAGTGTTTGCAGGAATAGATTGCCTTGAAGACAACAGTTGTGCTGCCATTAGAGTTTTGGTTATGGCTGAATGGCACCAGGGAGGACTCCTCACTTTGAACAGGGTGATGGGGACTGATGGAGGGAGAAAAAGAACAACTAGTACAATACAAATAAATTCTGAAATGATAATAAACAAAACTAACTAATACTTTATAGAACTTAGATTCATTTCCTAGGTAATGCTTCTGATTTGGAGATCGCAGAACATCTCTCAAACATATTCTGGTATTTCTGATACTGTACAAAATTCAAATGTGATACTGACCAGTGTGAAACTGTCATAGATTCTCATCAGCTCCTCTATCCGATACTGTTCTAGCACCACTACTCCTGCCAGTGCCAGGCTCTTAGCTCGAGCACAGTCCTCGCAGTGCACCACATAGGTCTTCTTACTGCTGTTCTCACTGGTCACAAATAGCAGGTCAAACACCTCCACCTGCACAAACACAGATCAGCACATTTGTAAATCTACAGCACAGAAACAAATGCACAGTTTACTGTATGGACAGACAACAAGGCCGGCAGGGATAGAGACCCACATCACACTCATTGCAATAGTACGCTGGCTCATCTTTCACACGACCCTGGTAACAGATCTTCTTCCCTGCAGCAACCAGCTGGTCTCTCAGAATCTGGATGTGCTTGATGGATTGCATCAGGCAGTGTCTGAGGGAGACAGAGGAGAGAAGAGTGAGAGATGTTCACACACGCACACATATGCACACACAAACAGACATCTTACTTGATCATCTTGAAGGTATCCTGATCTGTGATCTTGATGATGCGAGCCACATTCCAGGAAACATGGATCATGGGAACGATGGACTTAACCTTCTTCACCTTGTTCCACTCAAAGCGCTCCAGGGCGAGTTGATATTGGTATGCTGGGAGTTGCAAAAAAAAAAAATACAAACAGCAGGGAAGCTGAAAGTAAGTAACTTATTAAACAGCATGTTTAATTTGTGATCTGAGACGAAGAACAACACCTGGCTGCTGGCTGTCAAGTTTTAAGCAAGTTTTCCCTTTTATTTTTTGGTCTAACTTACAGTTGAGTGGCCCCACATTCCAGGCGATGTTGTTGCACCAGCCCACAGCCTGGACCCAGTGGACAGTCCCAGCATTAATCCACACCAGGTCTCCTGGTCTCTGGATGAAGCGGTACACAGGAATGTTGGAACTGTAGAGGTCTTCCAGGACTGGCCACCAAGACCCTGTAAGGTAGTCGACTCCATGTCTGAGGGAAACAGTTTGCAATGCAGTTTAGCACACACACATACTTTGGCTTTCCGCCTCATCTATTATTAAATCTGAAAGGCACTTCACTCACTTCTCACAGAATTTGTTGATAGCTTCCCAGTAGTGCTCATGAACAGCAAACCACTCACAATCACCAGGCCCGATATTTATGTTGACAGAGCAGAAATTGTTGTTTTCTTGGTGACCTGATAAGAAGTGCAGTCAGTCAGTTTATTAATTCCAAAACTTTCTTAATTTGAAACATTAAGACAGACATACTTGTATAATCAGACAATTATCAATGCCTAATTATTATGTCAGACATGCACTGACCTGGCGTGCGGCTTCCTGGCACCTTCATGTAGAGCTGCACGGTGTTCATGCCCAGAATGGTGTGCCCGACGTGACTGAGCATGTTGTGGCTGGACTCCACTCGCATGAAAGCTGGCAGTTTCAGTAGCTCCTGCAGCTGGGGCTTCCACCTTAAATAAAAACATGATTGGCGATGTGAAACAAGGACCCTCAGTGAACTCCATCTGAGGAAACAGATGTTAATACCATGATCTCACCTTTTAGGATCTGAGAGATCGATGTTGGTCCCAAATTTAATGATCTTTCCAACTGTTTTCTGCTCTGAGCTGGGGAAGGAACAACATCTGATATGAGTGTGGTTTAAAACAATGAATTCCTAACCCAAACTGATCACAGTTTTGTGCTAACCTGGGTGTGCTGGTAGAATGAACGGAGTGGGCTTTGCTGAAGATGGGAGCAGAATTGGCCTTAATGGTAGCTGAGGCCAGACTGCCTTTGCTGTTGCCTAATGTCAGACCAGCTTTTGTGGTGGCTGATAGGTCTGAGGTCTTGGTCTCTTCACCTTCCTCTTCATTCTCACTCTCCTTCTCCTCCTATAACACATCTACATGAGCTTAGCTGAGAGGTTGGCCAACAGCTAAATATGAATGCAACACTACATAGTTTGCTTTCAAAATCCTGGAAACCTGTGAATTGAATCATTATTACGCATCACACAAGTGGATTTTATTAGTTCTATGCTTCAAACTGCTGACAGTAGTGGTATAAGTACACCACACAGTTCTGAAAGAACTATGACCTTGTTTCACAACAATAAGAATACACAGAGCTACATGTACTGTACTTAAATATTATGATTTTTAATGCATAAGTGCATATCATTGTGTATCATTTCCTTCCTCGCTGCTTCAACAGTATAAAAAACTGAATCCTACTGAAACTGAAGCGGCATTATACACCAGAGATGACAGGAAGGGAGGCTGAAATTTAAATATATTTACCCTCAGTCTGAATATTGACATTCAGTTCCTTCATGTGCATTTTTTTCCAGAAAAACAAAAAAGAAGACTATTTACTTAAGTAAATCTGCAGTCGGTGAATATCATATTCATTCTCTGGTGCTCTTTCTGATGCACAGTGGGCCTTAAAGTAATAACATTTTGATATCTTTATACTACACCTCTCTTAGTCTTTTTTTCCTGTGATACTTTTTCATATGGGTGTTCCAGTTTGCATTCACCAAACTCTCTTAGCTGGACAAACTTAATGTAAATTGTTCATTTCAGCCTGATGAATGTCTTCTGTTCATGAAGAAGTACATGTTTGAAAGATTTTAACATGTTGCTCTTGCATGAGGCCCACTGTCTGTATAGCAAACATTTTGCTTTTTTGATATTAATTAGATAAGAGTTTGAAGTACAAGCTGGAGCAAGTCAATTAATAATGCCTCTAATTTCATCTATGTCCACTATGTTAAACTCTGTGTACATACATGTGTGCCATGAGGGAAAATGTATACCTGCAGGCTCTCCTGGAAGCTAGAGGCCTGGTACTGGGCATATTTGGCAATGGTGGTGTGTGAGCGGCTGCTTTCGCAAGGCCATGTTTGTGCTGAGCCACTGGTATCCCAGTTCTCATCAGCAGGCTGCTGAAACCGAGTTCTTACTTCCACGCATTGGCCTCCACCAGAGATTTGGTGGAAAACAGACCAAGGTCTCACGTAAGTAAAAGAAAGCAGAGAACATAGATAATCATTAGAAAAATATACATTTCCAAACTTTTTCATGCATTTTCAAACACAGTTATGTTTCATTGGTTTAGTTTGCACTAGTTAATTTCTTCACTCTAATCTTATAGTATTTCATTTGGTTATAGTATTTCTGAAGTATGACACAGAGAACTAGTATGCCACTACCAACAGTCAAGCTTCAGTGTACATGCATGTTTGTCCAGACTCAAATATGTAGTGAAGATTTTGAAGGAATTTAATAAAAGATCTTAAATGTATTTTTTGGCAAAATGCAAGTTATGACTATATAGATATGTATGATTCTAGTGAATAATTTCTAGTGAGAAAGCTGCGGGCTTCACTTAGAAACAATTTTTTGTACAGTACAGACGACTGACAGAACGCTTTGTCCCATCCTGCAATGACAATCACCTGAGCTCAATATCAGCAACACCAATGGGCATGTGGTGGACTACTAGACGAACAGGACAACCCTGTCCTGGTTGTCATCCAGAGAGGAAGTGATCAGTTTTTCCCGCTATAATCCTCACGAGAATGGGACAAAGGTATGAACAGACTGACAACCCAAAAACATAGTGCCACTGGCCATGGCTGTGGTTGGCACAGAGGCGTAAAAAAGGTGTCAGCTTAGTTATACACAAAGTGAACTATGCAAACACATCCACAGTAATAATCCTCAATCATAGTAGGGCCCAGTGATACAGCCATTATGCAATGGCTGAACATGCATGGTCTGATTCAAACATGGGTTATAATAGTTGGGCTCTGTACACTGCCCAGCATATTGGTGATACAGAATTTCTAAAACACAACACCATTTCAACCATGCCTAGTTACTAAAGTCTTTAGCCCTTATTTGCATATACAGTAAAAAAGATGCCAGCATCCATTATTCACACATAAAAAAGGGGTCAAAAGGGCCCACACATAGTTTTATAATCAAAATGTCTAAAATTTGACCACATCTAAAATCCTCAAAATCTCTATTCTATTATATAAGGCATTTATATCAGAGGAATTGTGTTGCTTTTCCTTTCAATTTCTCTTCCCTGCTCCTTGCGTGATAATTTCCCACAAAAGTAAATAAATCAATAAATAAACAAACACAAGCCCCTAGTAAACAGCAAAGTACCACTAAAACAATAAAAAGTGATTTAGAGTGAATGAATTTTGATGAAATCTGTTATGCCAAATAGAGTTAACGAAGTGGGGTAAATTAGCTAGTAAGTGTGGTGTATAAGCTTACTAAGGCGGAGGGAGCCAGCAAGGCCTCTGATGACAGTGACAGCATTTTTGGGATCAGTGCAGAACTGAAGCAGAACTGGAGAAAAGGCATCCCTCTTGCTCTCCAACTGCAGGAAAAAGGCAGCATGATTATGAACATTTGAAATGATGAATAAATGTATTTATTTGTCCCAAAAACAAATTTAAAATACTGACATTAGGTTGTAAATATGTAGATGCTGTGAAACAAGGTTAAAAAAAGGCAGGGTCTCCCTGGTGCTATCAAGAAAACCATCCAAGAAATAATTATTGATTGTAAATAATTCAAAGAAGTATGGAGGCGATTTACAGTTTTGCATTCATATAAGAACAAAACATAATAGTCTGCAGCCATACTGATGGCTATGTGAGGCAGTACTTAGGCACAGTGGTACTGAGATAAAAACTAAGGTAAGCAAGCTAACTTTGCTTACCATAATGACAGTGCTAACATGCTGATATTATATAAATGTTTTATAACACTGACCATAGTCACCATCTTAGTTTAAAATATGAGAACCTTGCAATAACAGTTCACAGTGCAGTTGATGGGAATGTCATAGGTTTTGCAAATATTTAGGTAAAACCCAAAGTATTAAACAAAAATTCTGATGGTAGATGGTCTTTTACTTGTATAGCAGTTTTCTACGCACTCAAAGCACTTTTACACTATTTGGCCATTCACCCATTCGTACTCCTATGTACACACACATTCACACACCGGTGATATCACCAGGAGCAATTTGGCATTCAGTGTCTTGCTCAAGGACACTTAGATGTGGACTGGTGAAGCTGGGATTCAAATAGCCAATCTTCTAATTAGGGTGCGTTCCGGTCTACCTCGTGAGCCACAGCTGCCCCCAGTCTAAGGGGTAACCAAGTCATTTCACTTCATCTTGAGGGGAACATGAGCATCTAAACAAAATTTTGTGCCCATCTATTAGTATACTTCAGTGTCAACCAGAGTTTTGACCGACTGACCTACAGGCCTGCATTACAATCCCTAGAACCACGCTGCTATCATGGCTACAGACAAGGTTTTAGGATTCAGTACTTGACAGAATCATTGATTAGGCTGTGGACTCACATAGATGCTTGGTGTAGGAGGGTTAAGCTTTTCTCGAGGAATGGGGGTCATGATGGCAATGTTAGGTTTAACAGAGAAGGTAGGAACCAGGTACGACTCCTTGAATTTCCCCTTCACCCTTGCCCCCCTGAAAAAAGATGACAGAGCAAAATTCATCAAGAGGAACCAAGTTAGTGCAGGGTATCAGACTTTAATGCTTTTATGGCATTGTGTGAATTACTTCAATGCCATCTTAGTCACAACTGATTTTATAAAATTGGTATTGAAAAAAAATATCATTTAGGAACCAGTATAAAAGTCAAGGTGGCATCAAGATCAGTATTGATATCAAAAGTTTTGGAATGATACTCAGCCCTAAACAAGGCAGATGCAAAACCTACTATTTTCTAGTCATAACCCCATGTTGTATGAGTTACCTGGACTAGAATTATCTCTATCAGAGTACTCACTTGCATGATCTGATCACTTGAGCGGCCGTGTTTTCAATGCTGATCTTGGAAAGTGGGATTCTTTGCTCTTTCACCTCTGATATGTTGAATGTTTGTCTTCCACTGCTGTCCACTTTAATCAAGAGAACCCTCAACTCCTTACACAAGCCCATGGACAATGCCATCAGTTTCAGTGGGTCAACTGGAGCTAATGAGCAGGAAGGTTTACTTGCTGGTGTAGAGACTGATAATTTGGATGTACTGATTGTTGCAGCTGATGCTGATTTTGAGGTTTTGCTGTCTGTGTTTCCAGCTGCTGAGAATATCTTATTTTTTAACTCACAGACTTCTACCTTCTGCTCTGTTGCCATCTTTATCTCAGTGTCCAACTTTTCTCTCTGGTTCTCTTTGCTCTGTAGGGTTTGATTTTCCTGAGAAATCTGGCCCTTTGTACTATCTTTGAGAGGTCTAGATGAGTTTCTGGAGGCATCTGGCACTGAGGATGAAACATCCCTGTCTTCCATATTACTTATTTCTCGACAGACAACATTGCCTTCTTCTGTCTTTATCATAATCTTGTTTTCTTTTTCTGTTTCTCCATCCTTATCCTTATGTCTTCTTTTGCTCTCTGTATGTCTGTGTTCTGCCTCTTCACTGTGCTCTTTCTCCTCCTTGGTGGAAACATTCAGGAGGCCCGTGAAAGAAGTTGTATTTGTGGTGGTCAGTCTCAGCTCTGCACTCAGTGACCCATCCAAAAGCGACGACTCAATTCTCTCAGGGAGGATCTCTGAATTCTTATCCTCTTGTTTCTCTTTTATATAATTCTCCATCTTTTCCTGCTTCTTCTGTGCCAGGGTGTCCATGATAGGCTCACTCAGATCTTTCATACTGTGAGATTTCAAAAATGTGTCTGAGGTAGTGTGGATTAGTGATGCTGTGGGATCTGATTTATCCTGAACCTCATGACAGTGGATCTCTGGTCCAAATGCAAGAGAAGAGGAGTACTTCACCCCTTTTGTAATGCTAGCAGGAGGTCCACCAAATGGACCACCTCGACATGTGACCTTCTGGCCTCCGAGAAAGGTGGCCAGGCTCTTAAAAACATCATCCAGTCCTGTTTTATGGTGACAAAGCTCATGAAGAAGAGATCCAGAAGTTTCTCTGTTGATCTCCCCCTTTTCTTCCTTTCCTTCCTCAGCAACTTGTTCAGCTGTGCAAGGCAGATCACAGAGTTCATTATGTGAATAATCATCCAGTAGTCTTTCACAAGACTCTGTACTCATATCATCAGTGCTCTCACTGTCTACAGGAGGAGAAAAGCACTGGGTGGGGCTGGGCTGGAGAACAGGTCTACTTATCACTCCCTTTTCTAGCTCCTCTTCATCCTCTCCCAGAACTGATACTGGAGAGCCCTGCCAGCTCAGAACAGGCGGAGTGTTTGCGAGGTTGTCTCCCATTTCCCTTAAATTCCCCATGACAGTCACAGGCTGAAGATCTGGGGCAGTGAGAACTGCTCCCTGCCCAGCTTCTTTACTGTGGACCAACTGCTCTGAGCTCATAGAACAAGCTGTACTGAGTGGTGCTAAGGCTTTAAATAAAAGTGAAGGGAGTGTATCATCAGGCTTTTCTTTTGGTCTGTCTTCTGACTGGGATGAGACAACAGTCAGTTCCCTGCAGGTCTGATTGAGGCTGGTGCTCCTGGGAGGAGACTGCATGAGGTGATCCTTGACAGAATGTTTCTGGAGACAGATGTTCCTTTTGGGAATTCTGTGATTTTCAGATTTTGAGGCTGGCTGTGGTGAAGTCCAGCTTGTATGTGGAGTATTTGCAGATAGCCTGTGTGTCCTCTCTACACATTTACTCCCCTCTCTGTGCTTGTGTTTGGGTTGTGTCTGGCTTGGATTTTCTGGGGTCAGAGTTGTAGTCTCCATTTTACTCTTTTTGACCTCTCCTGAAGAGTTGGAAGCAGAAATGGAAGCAAGTATTTCTCGTTCTGTGATTTTTGAGCCTAACTTTCTGTCTTTTTTAACTGCTTTATCTCTTTTCTTTTTCCTCTCAGCCAAACCTTTCTCCTCTTTTTTCTTCTGCCTTTTTCTTTCGTCACCCTTTCTCTTGGTTTTTTGAATGTCACTCTCTCTCTCCTTTTTCCCCACCTTATCTTTTTGTTTGCACCCAGGTTGTTTGTGCTCTCTAAACTTCTCCTTAGGTTTGTTTGCTTTTGATCTACTTTGGGGCGATAGTTGTGAACAGAGGGGCTGTGAGGTTTTTCTGTATTTGATATCTGAAAACCTGGATTTCGGAACAGCATGAGATGTAAGAGATGCGGTAGATGTCAGGCTAGGTCTCAAGATGTCACTGGGGTTTCCCTGGAGTTTCTGCTGTCCACTGAAGCCAGGACTAGACTGATGCATGACTGATAGATCTTTTCTGCCACTGGCCGCCATGCACGAAGAATGACTTGAGGGCGCACGTGTACTGCTGGCAGTAGAACCTCCGTCTTTAGAACTGCAGAGAATGGATGAATAGGGAGGAGAGTTTGCACCAGAAGACTTGGAGGGGGCAAGATCCCTTGAATTGCCCCTTAGATGAGTGCACTGAGGTTCCTATGGAGTTAAATTAAATCTCTTTAGACTTTTATTATGGGATGGGACACATTATACTGTATTTGTATTATTATACTGACAGTAATAATAATTTCATTAGCAACTTAGGCCTGGAATAGCACAACAACTGCTTTAAATAGGAAGAGACACTGAGAGCTAGAAGGAAAACTTCTTTTTTCTTACCTGCTGTATTTCCCCTAAAAGTGGGTATGGTGACTAAACGTGAAATATGATTTGACTGAAATCATGCTTATTGTGACAACTCTCGGAGGTGACTTTTTGTTTCCTCAAATCTCTAGAATGGAGGTAACGATAGCAAAATTTGCACTAACTATCAAGTAACCATGCCCACATTTAAGGGAAATACTGCAGGTTAAAAAATGGAAGTTATCCATTTGTTTACTTCCTCTATGTATTTGATTAATCAACAGATGATCTGAATTCAGAATATAACACATATTAGCTATTTAGTAAGTGCACAGAAAGTGTAATAGAAAACTTTGAGTCTCACAGAGGCAGATATATTTTATTGTGTTCATGCCATAAAAATGGTTTATTTCTCACTGTGCTTTGTTTGTGATGATGGCTCCATGAGTCTTTTTCCTCCAGGGAGTGGAGTGGGGGGTTGTGTTGTAGGGCTCTGGCATGGCCTGTGTGCCGCTGACAATGGTAATAATGGTTTTGGTGGCTGTAAGGCACACGGGTGTGGTCTGCTGGTGAAGACGAGTTTTTCCGGTTGACCTTCCCTCTGCTTCCATGATGTGGTGGTCTGCTGCCACAACTCTGGTTTAGAGCTGCTAAACTGCAGCTACTGAAGCCCTGCCCTCCAGCTCGCAGTTTAGAGGTTTCCTGCATATTTCAAAGCCAGAAAACCAATCAATATAGGTTTTGTTTTCATTTTAAAATCTAATAATTATTTACTAATTATACAAGCTTACCTGTTGCTTTGTTGTTGAGGTCCTGTGGTCAGAGTAGTGGGAAGGACCCACCCTGTCATTATGAGGCTTCCAGTCTTCTTGGTTGCAGCGTTGGTGGCGGGGTGGTGATGGGGCATGGGCAAATAAAGGTAAATGCCTCAATCCAGGATGAGATGACTGAACAGAGAAACATAAATATCCTGTCATACTAAATGAAACTTTACCAGTGGGTGGTGCTGTTGCAAACAAATGAAATATCATGTATGGCTATACAGGCTAGGTTTAACAAATGATTTACAGTTTGTTGTATAAAGTCAACAAAGCTTACCTGATCTGTGCCAGAGTCCCTTCGCCTCTTAGCTGGACACTCTGCCCTCAGGGTTAAAGGATGCTGTGTGGGTGGACTGTACTGATGCAGTTGGTCTCTCTGGAGGGCTGGCCGTTTCCAGGGCCCTGGTCTGTTGCTTATCATGCTGCCTGAGAAGTTCCTGCGGCTGTCTGAGGGGGCCCATCTCTCTGGTGGGGACTGGAGTTCTCTGTTGTTGTGATGCAGGTGAGGACCCCCATGCTAACAATCAAAAAGAGGAAGTTCAAATTATGACACTTTTAGAACCATTAACAATGTAAACACCTCTAGAAATAACATTACTGAGCAGCAGTTCTCACCACAGAGTTGCCGACATTGTTGTCCCAGTTTGCGTAGCGCTCTCCAGGTCCTGTTAAATAACCACTGTTGGTGGCAACTCTGTTGTGGAATGAGCGTGTGGAGTTGTGATGCCATCTTGGGGCCTCAAATGGTTGCTCTTTACCATCCCAGACATTTAGATTCTGTCTGTGCCCCTTTGAAATGCCTTTGTCCTGGACATGGTTGACTGTTCTCTCCCCCCTATGAAAAAATACCAATGGACTTTAGCATAAAGTTTCATAGTGTAGATAATTATTCAAAACAATGATGTCACAGAACTGACACAAATGTGAATTCATATACTCTTTCATGTACTGTTCTGTTGCACAAATGCTATGTACAAGCCACACACTAGCCATTCAGTGGTTTCCAAAACACATACAATACATGTCTTTAAAAGAAGATGTGCTGTACTAGAAGCAGCAAAGCCTCAAAATGTACATGTTTTCAGTACATGAATGAAAAATATTGTTTCACTCACCTATTATAAAGACGACTTGAAGGTGAAGGATGTGTTTGATTGCGCCCTCCTTGACATCTGTAGCAATGAAAATATACTGAACAAAGACTAAGTGAAGGCTCACTTGTTAACAAATTGTTAACAAATCTGAAAAAAATGTAACAAAAGTGGGACTCTTGTTTTAAGTAATCAGAAGCCAGACTTGCTTTTTTACCTGACTGTTGACTTAGCCATTTTTCTTTCCAAGTATTTATCATGCATACCAGTCACAAGGAAAAGTATTGTCAGGTTTGCCTGGCTGCACCTGCCTCTCTCACTTCTCTCCCTCTATTTTAGCTCCCTTACCCCTGATTTTTTTATCTGACACACCTGCTTCACGTCCCCTGAATCACCACCAGCTGCACCTGATTAGTTTCTTCCTATTTATACCGTGCTCATCATCCACTTCCCTGCCAGTTCTTTCTTGTCGTTCTATGCCGATCATTTATTTTGTCTACTATACGTATTTGTTCACGCTCTTCATCCCAGCTCCGTTCCTGCCTTGTGCCCTGTGTATTGTCTTCCCAGCCACTATCGCTTCTCTGGG